CCCCCCCCCCCCCGCCACGCCTTTGACAGATAAAGACGTATTTCCCAGCTCCTTATTTCTAAATTATCTTTAATACTTAATCTATCCTCAGAGCAACATACCACTTTGGCCCGTGGGTAGAGTTATAAAGAATGATCAGAAAGTCACGCAACCGATTCCTGACACATGTTCTGTTTATAAAAATATACATCACACTGAAATCAGAAAAAAAAATGTTGTAATAAGCGTTGGAAATGTCCACTGTGCTCTGTAACGTCACTTAACACTGAAGGTAGACCGGAATGGTTTTCTTTCCTAGACGAGATGTCAATTTGTCAAAAGAGAATCGGGAAATGAATCCCGAAACTAATTCTGGCCAGTTAAGTAAGAACGAGATGCCAGGTAGTTATCGAGAATGAACACTCATTGACCTTGTGAAGAAGACATCCTTGAACTTCAACCGAAGACAACCGACGGACTGGGGCGAGCAGGTTACAGCATGGTTTCTTGTGTAGTCACAGCGACACTGTGTGTTTGTTAATGAAATCAAATTGTGTGGAATTGCAACCACCAATAACTGTTTTGATTTGGGTTGCGTGACCCGACGATCATCGTGCAGTTTTCGTAATATTTTTGGAGTAATAATAAGAGAATATTAACGATCCTGTGTTCGCTGTGTTATTGCAGCAAATAAATGCATTCTGACAATGCAATTTCAAGTTTAAGAACAATTATTATTCTATATTATTCAGTTACCACCTAACGATGTCCTGAAGCCAGTCATGGTTTATTTGCACGGAGGAGCCTTCTATTTCGGATCTGGAAATACGGATATGTTCGGACCTGGTCGTCTGATGACCGGAGAAGTCATTCTAGTTACCACCAACTATCGTCTAGGAGCGCTAGGTAATAACATACACGACTATCAGTCACTGAACTGGACATCAGTTCCTACGGGATACAGTAATGCAGGCATACTTTTCAATGAATACACATAAGTAACTAGGAATATGGAGATTACAAAGAGAAATCTAGGCCAGACACAACGCCCTAAGACCCAAAATGTGCAAACGCTGGGGGAGGCTACTCTCACAGAAATGCAACTTCAGTATGAAATTTAATACAAGAAATTTAGATGAAGCTATAGTAAAGGATATTTCCACCCAGTCAGCGACATATTTTATTTTATAAATCCATTAAAACATGAGATTTTTGAAGACTCATTCATAGATGATTATTTGTTGATCAGAAAGGAATGTACCTACTTTATTTTTATATCAGGATTCCTCACTACTGGTGACTCAGTGGCAATGGCCTGAAGGACCAGGTGATGGCTCTGCGCTGGGTTCAGCAAAACATTGCGCAGTTTGGGGGGGATCCTGGCAACGTCACTCTCTTCGGGGAGAGCGCTGGAGGTTCTTCTGTTCAGTTCCATCTTCTCTCTCCGATGTCAAAAGGTAAATCCAGAAAGTGACTACAATAGGCTGAACTACTTAACGTAAGCAATGTGCAGTGAAGAAAAATCTATGCCACATTTGCAGAACTCGTGTTACTTGTGACAGTTTCATTCATTTTGTAGTTCAAATGTATTTTACATAATTGATTTGTTAATTTCAACCGCTGTGCATCTTGTGCATCTCGCGTCCTCAGTTTGTTGTCTATACATTCCCAATTTTATATTCCATAACAGATCTTTGGATATATTACGAAAACGCTTATGTTCAGGGCTGTAAGGTGTACTCGAGTTATGTATGTTTAATAGGACTGTTTCATCGTGCAATCGCTCAGAGTGGTTCTGTACTCAATCCGTGGGCCTTCGCAGATTCATCGACTCTTTGCAAAAGAGTTCAAAGATTTTGCAAGGCGCTGGGCTGTGAAGCAACTTCTTCTGAGGAGCTGGTTGAATTTCTCATGAAGGTTCCTACAGAAGAACTTGTGCTGGGGGTGAATAAGGCTCTCACAGAAGAGGTAAGTTCGACTGGAAGTGGGTTGTTACGGTGGACCGACACGGACCAAAATGATATTCGCCCCACACCTATCGAAACCAATTACATATGTGATTGGAGGGACATGCCCCATCATGTATTCACTTGCTGCACCAGGTAAAATTATTACTGGTTTCTAAGCTGCATAGGTCAAGAGCATCGAATGGAAGAATGACTATGAAACATGAAAAAGATACGGAGTGGAGTGCTTACTCTCTGTGAGATTACTGGTTATTTTCCAGTGTGTAACTGATGGGATCGATACAAGATCTGCAGAGAAAACTCACAAAGACGGTCCAATGTGACTCCACAGGTCGTTAGTTGTCGGTGGCCCGGATTACTTCCAGGGCTTTTGAGGTGGACAAAGCTGGCACTGGGACAGGATTTTCTCCTGTCAATATCATTCCACCGATGCGTCAATACTGACTCATTATCAACTGGGGGTGGACAATGGGCCCTTTAGTGGTTGTAATTTCACACACATTTAACCTCACCATAACAAAAAATAAATGATACAACTCATTGTTACAGGAAAAGCGACCAATTGCAACTCTGTTTGTACCAACAAATGAAAATGGCGTTCATGAAGGAGAAGAAACGTTTCTTCCTGGGCTACCAGAATATCTGATGGCAGAAGGAAAATTTCACAGCGTTCCCTTCATTACTGGAGTCACTACTTTGGAGTCCATCTTCGTCTTGGGAGGTATTTCATACTGCACGCAATATTTACATAGGGGCAGAGAACGAGCGCTAATCACAGCTAAACATTGCTCTCAAACTTTGTTCCAGACATTAGCGCCAAATCTGAGCTGAGAGAATTTCTGAATAACAAGTTTCATGTAATTATATCCATGTTTCTTAATATTGATGAAAACTCGAACAAGTGCCGAGAAATCAGCAGAAAAATAAAATCATTCTATCTCGGGAACAAACCGGTCTCCAAGGAAACGTTGCAAGAAGTAGCGGAAGTAAGTAGAAGACCATAATTATGACAGCACTGATTGTACATTAATTTATATTCTACAGTGTTTTAACATTATTTTTCCTAGTTTTACAGCGACATATTCTTCGTCAGTGGAGTTTACAGATCCGCTAAGAAACACCAAGCAAAATCCTCTTCTCCGGTGTATTTATATAAATTTTCATTTGAAGGAAACATGGGAATATCTTCAGCTTGGATTGGGCCAAATCTCTTGCCAGGTACTGCTAGTTTGTTCTAACTATAACTATTCACTAACATTTTGAAGAATCCGTCGAACTCATTCTCAAAGTTCCGTGTCGCACTGCTCTCGTATACACACATCAGTGTCTGTCACTGCACCGAACCATGACACATGACACATGACACATGGATCTGATGAAAGATTTAACATTTTCACGGCGATGCGGTCTTCTGGGTTGTATACTTACAACGTTTCGGAGGAACATACTACCCTGAAGATTGAGGCAGCATGTTTCTCCGAAACCTTGTTATACATCCAGAAAACTACGTGGCACAATATACCAATCTAATCTAGACTAAGTCACGGGGGCTTTACCAAGTAGCGCTTCGTGTACTAGCCTAATATTCAAGATAGATTTTGAACCTAACCATTGCAAAATAAAGCACAACAAATACTTGATATAATAAAAACCAATAACGTGCCAACTCTTAAAACACAATGTAACAATGTACAGCTCAGACAATGACGTCCAACATTCTATTGAATCAACCATTATTAGATCAATCGAATCCGTCCGACGAACTAAGCACAGAAAGGACAACGTTTCGCACCCAAAAATTCTCGTTTTTGCAACTGCTATTACAGGAGCCAGCCATGGAGACGACTTGGGATATTTATTCGACGGGACTCTGTTTGAGGATCTACATTCAAAAGCTGATGCCGAAAGTAAGAGGATGTCTGAACAACTTGTTCGCACGTGGACCACCTTTGCAACCACAGGGTAAGGGAGAGTTAATTTAATCTCAGGGAAGAACATCAGTAAGACAACGTAAACGGTTTCACGATGCCTTAAAATGGCTTATCATACAAAAGTCTGGCTTATTTCCAGGAAATATTTATTGATACCTAGAATATCTATGAAAACCCAAATTCAATAAATCAAAAAGAGACAGATTATATCTCGTCAAACCATTCATTCCAGCCCACAATTAAAAGAATTATTAATATTATTCCTATAGCTATAGGATGTTTTATTTGTGTGAATATTATTCTTATTGGTGTTCTTGAGATTATTATTGTTTTCTGTGTTTCAAACTTGTCTATTTACAAGATAATACCTCTAAGAATAAAGTTCCAGCCACAATGTCCAATATAACATTCTATATAGTTCACGAGTTATCACTTATCACCTTAAAAGGGAAAATAAAAAGCCTATTTGTTATTTATAAAATTTCAGAAGTTTACGATAAATGGGCAATGGCAGAGAAGCAGTTCACAGAACAGGTGACCACTAACTGTGTATTTTCGTACCACATGCCAAGAACGTTTATCCACTGGTTAACATTTTTATACACCTTTTGTGCAAACGTACAAAAATGCATCACACGAATTTTCCTTCCTTACAAAGAGGGCAAGCTTCAAGTAATTTGTCAAGGTCATTTCATTGATGCTCAAGGCGTATAAAAGTGTTAGGCACCCGGTGTGCCGCTACAAGAAATAGCATATTCGCACGTTATAATCAGAAAAAGTCAATTCTCATCTTCCATTTTCTCCGTATGATATTCTGCTGTTCGTTCTTGCAGGGATCCAAGTCTGGGGTCTGACAAGTCTGGCAGTGTAATTTGGAACCCTGTTACCGAGAACGAAGTTGTTTACATGGACATCGACAAGGAATGGAGTATGAAGCGAGATTTTTTCAAAGATCGCATGGCATTCTGGGACGAGATATATGAATCACTCTGAGGAGAAATACAAACATGATATGTAATACTTATGAATATAATTACATTTTCAAATTTCTCCTCGAATTGTTTTTAATATGGGCGTTAACAAATTCAAACCGCATAGAAAGCCACAGTCCGCTTATGCGCGATGAGTAATCTGACCCTTAAGCCTCTCAAAAACGCCGTTCTTCTGGGTTTTGGCGCCGTGCAGACTTGTTGGTAGATGACGAAACACATCTTCTGGACTGACTTCAGCCCTAAAGGTGGAGACAGACATCTGCACGGAGCCAAAACCAAAAAGAATAACATCCTCACCGCCTTTAAAACCTCAAATCTCTCTGAAAACTTAATAGATGACGATTCCAAGACTGAGTTTACAAATTCCTGACAAAGTCACCAATAACGTGTCAGCACACCAGGAAATAAACGGGCAAGATTCAAGCTCTGGTCGTCCATTTGACTGGTAAGAAGGCAACTGGTATTCATGGGATATTACGCTGATACGAACAATGGGGCAGGTTTATCTCCGAGTCCTTCGGCTTTCCGATTCATAATGATTAGGCTGTATATTTTCTGGCAATGAGCTCAAATGCATTAGAAGCAAGATTGGAAATGTGTGATCTGCAGAGTCCTTGAAAGTTCCAAAGGTATTCTTTGAGACATATCTGATAGATGTGACATCATGTAATTCATATAATCATTTACTTCGTACAATCACTGATGGATGGCAGAATGTTGAGTAGATTGGTTGCTTGGTCTTGATTTAAATTATCAGTCATGTATTGGAGGTGAAATCACAAATATGAGCATTCGTCATATTGGTATTATGGATTGTAAGGTATCGCGGTATGAAGGCGTATGGAGGGAGTGGATATAGAGCTCTACTTATTCTTATCCTCTGCAGCTTGTAGTCAGCTTCAAGCTCAAGCAGATTTACTAACAGAGGAAATATTTCCCTATTACCAAGAGGATAAGAGACGGGGTGAGCCCAGAACCGGTTTTGGAAGTGGCAGGTTAAGAAACAATTTTGCCAGGAACTAAACCCTGGCCGTTTAACCCGTAGCAAGTCACCGTCTCAGCTATCCCAGTTCGTGTAGGTGGTCCTACTTATTTAGAGTACACACCAAGATTATTTGAATTCCTATGCGGGCGTAACACATAGACAGTTATTACACAGCAGGCTATTAATAAAATTAGAACAGATTCAAATTATTTAATCCGAGTAAGTTACGAACATTTTTCAGAACATCGACCACTACACAACCCTTTGCATGTCCAGTAAAGGCAAAGAAAGCTGAAGATTTCGGTCTTCTGGGTTGTTGCGCTGTGTAGTCTGGTCGATGTTTACCAACGTTTCAGAGGTCATACTGCCTCTGTCATCAAGGCGATCAGGCCCTGATGACAGAGGCAGTATGACCTCTGAAACGTTGGTAAACATCGACCAGACTACACAGCGCAACAACCCAGAAGACAGAAATCTTCATACTCACCGCTGTGAAAACCTGAAATCTTGCAAAGAAAGCAGTTTACGCTATGAAAGCAATTAATGTGATTTTCATTATTACATCATGAAGACGTGTGAGGCAATGGAAATATACCACCTAGCATTCTTAACCTATGCACAAGATTGATGAAAGTGGTGGGATTCATGTACACGTCTCTTTGCCCCCGGAGAAAGAGATTTCGGTACCACTGAGTGCGAAGCGAAGTGGGACGCTAAGCCGGACTGGACGTGTTGGCTAAGAGAAAATTTATTCCGCTGACGGGGATCGAAACACGGTCCAGGCGACGCATCTGACAATGTCATGACAGGCATCATTAAGAATATCTAAAGAAATTATCTCATTTAGGCGTGACACAGCTGTTTTTCAATGACATTTGTTTGTCCGCTTCAGTCGAGTACTTGGCCGTAATCCAAACATTTTATCATCTGCTGTCTCATTCTGGCTTTAAGCAGTGAGACCTCGTGCGTAGCCGAAGTGTCCTTCACGAAGCCCGACTGTACGCACCTTGCCGCTTGAGAAGTTACCAGCAAATCTGACTGCAATATTTCAAAGGCAAGTGTGATTATTTTTTTTATGTAGGTCTAGTTAGTTTGTGCTGAAACAGGTAATAAGCGTCTGATGAAAGATGAAGAGCAGGCCAAACAGAAGACACCCAACGAAACTGCATGCTGGTATTTGTATTCACCGCAAATAATCTGTTTGTAACTCTCACCCTCGGATGTGGATACAGTCTGCTTCTAGACACACGATCCGTCAACAATTGGTTCTTTGTAAAATGCAAGTAGCTTCATTGTAATACGACATTCGTTTAACATTTCCATAATTCCATGGCTACAGACAGTAACGGTAGGGCCTACAGAATGACCGGTATGATAAGCTAACACAAGACTGCTGCTCAACTCATGGCGTGAAACTGCGAATATACTGAATAAGCAGGAGCGGACAGCCGAAAATGGGTTATTATCCACCTTGAGGGTTGTGCATAGAATTAAAACTGTTCACCATAAATCTTCTGTGTAACAAAACTTTTACAACGGCCCAGAAAGGAAGTGGGCGAATTCTTTTGAGCTATCAAGGCGAGGTTTCGACGGTCACTTACAGATCACCAGCGGTAAAGTGGCCGGAAGTGAGGCTGATCACTCACTTCCTCTAGTGCCCAGGTTAAGAATGCATGGATTTATATTTCCACTCTTTTATGTCTTCATGGTGTAGAATATAAATAATAAGAATAATCTGTTAGAAGACTCGTTTTTAAAACTAGATTCCTTTACAATACAGGATTACCCTTCGCCAACTCTGCAATATGGTAAAGACAAAGAAATACATCTTGGCTAAACACTTTGTTGGTGAGCCAAAGGAAGATGATTTTGAGGTTGTAGAAGAAGAGTTACCACCCCTGAAGAAAGGAGGTAAGATTCAGCCAGATAAATCCTATCCATTCTTAGACTCTCTATTTTTTAAAGATACATTTTATTATTCTTGCAGTGAGGCAAGACTGTATTTGTGGAACAATTTCTTATTTGTCACAGATATTATATATATATATGTACATAGATCCTAAACAATTAGCTCCTGAAAATTACTTTATTAATGGGTCACTTAAACTGAACCAGATCATTTCCTTGTTTTTCATAACTGTTCTTTTTCTTTCTTGTTACAGAAATTCTGTGTGAAGCTGTGTGGTTAAGTGTCGATCCATACATGAGGCAAGTTGTATTCACATCTTTCAGTTCACCTAGAGATTGAGTCAGTAACTTATCGGATACGTAACACAGACAGGTTTTTATTTAATTAATGACCACAACATGAAATTATTGCATTAATGCCTATACATATGTACCAAAAATATGTATAAGTTATTTATTTAACTGTGCTTAATTTCATAGCTCAGACTATATAGCATAAAATGATAAGGTCATTAAAGAATAATGAATTGTGAAGAGTATGGAAGAAAATGGCTGTGGCTTAATTTAAGATATTATCCCAGCAGTTACTTATGGGACAGTAAAACCATAAAAAGCCTGTCAGGTTGGCTGGTCTAAGGGCCA